TCAAGTCTGCTTGCAGTTAATGTCACTTTGTCATAATCTCCTTTGAATGTTAGCTTAAAAGTAATTATATTTAATTGATTTCTAATTTGATTGCCATATTAAAGAAAATATTAGTGTTTTATGAAAAATACTTAAATTTTTAAGGTGAGTTTCAAGACTGTACTCATAATATGTGAAATTATAAAGAAGTCTTAGTATTATTCTCATCTTCATGTAGTGCATAATACTGCAAAAGACATTCAGCCTTTTAGTACTAGCAAAGCAGGTTTTGGTATCACAATCCCAAGAAGGAATAAAGAAATAAAAGGGCAGTGCAGCAATGTAGCTGGGTGACAATGCATGCTAATAACATAATTTATATACAATATAAACAGGATTAATGAAGTGAAATGGACCGAGTGGAAAACACATGTTTCATTTATTAATGAAGATCCAGGGCCAACAGGTACTGCAGAATTTTATTACACCACATTTGTGAAACTGTTTCTCTTAGAAATGCTTTGATATAGTTTTATAACTTAAAAAATATAAACTCTCATACTCTGGATATTGAACCACACTTTACTCATGGCTAATATAGTAGGGGTGTGTAATTATTTTTAAAGGTTTGGAGAAAGGGTTGGTTACAAACTCTCATTTACACCTTTTAAAAGTAAAACAAGGTGGTTTTACCTTTATTTTTCTCTAAGTAGTTATGCTTGATGTAAGTGTCACATTCTGTTGTGGCATTTGAGTGGTATAAGGCTGGATAACTTTTTAACAGACAGAAAATATGATTCTGAAACAGCTGTCATAAAGTACATTTAGTCCTTACATAATTACAGATAGCATTGGAAAATCTGGCAAGGAATCGGACTGGTTCTACCTAACAATATTAGTCTGCTGTTTATAACTCTAGAACATAGAATGGTTTGGATTGGAAGGGACCTTAAAGATCATCCAGTTCCAACCCCCCTGCCATCAGCAGGGACACCTTCCACTAGACCAGGTTGCTCAAAGCCTCATCCAGCCTGGCCTTGAACACTTCCAGGGAGGGGGCATCTACAACTCCTTGGGCAACCTGTTCCAGTGTCTGACCACCCTCACTGTGAAGAACTTCCTCATATCTAATCTAAACCTCCCCTCTTTCAGCTTAAACCCATTTCCCCTTGTTTTGTCATTAGTTGCCCTTATGAAAAGTCCCTCCCCAGCTTTCTTGTAGCCCCTTCAGGTATTGGAAGGCCGCTATAAGATCTCCCCGGAGCCTTAAAAATTTACGTTTATGTTTTGCAATATATATTGGATGACAAATGCCCCTTGTGAATGTTGACCAGGAAATTCAAGATACCCATCTGCTGACAGTGTTGGAAGTGTAACAGAGAAATGACCTAACTTTGAGGTGTCAGATGTTCTGGCAGCAGGCATCAGTGTTTACAGCAGAGGCATATGAGGATCTGGGAGACTCATTCTTGAGTCGATTAGCATTTATATTGCTTAGTAGAATGAGCTCAGTAATAATGAAAAGGGGAAGACAGAAAAATTTCTGTGTAAGATATGGTAGTAAACTGACAACTTGCTGCTTAAATAAATGCATGTTTTTAACAAAAAAAATAGATGTGCAAAACCTTTATCTTGCATATATAGTTTCTACCATATCCTGTGTTGTTTATAATGCATTGTTTTGCAGATCCAAGCAAAGTTCAAGATAATTCAAGAACTAATAGCAAAAACACCCTGAATACGTTTGAAGAAACGGATGATTTGCCTGAAACTTCCGTTTAGTTGTGCTGTGTTTGATATGTGGATGTTCTGAAGGTTAAAAGCATCAGCAGTGGATGCTGAAAGCTTTGTTGCTATTTTGGACAGCTGTAACCAGCTGGAACACAAACTTTCAGTGATGTGGTCTGATGAGTTTAACCCATTTAATCAGGGCAGCTAAGCTAAAATAAAATGGACTATTTCACTGGTTCAGTTTTGAGCCTCTTGAAAACCATCGCTGTCCAAGTTTGCGTGATGCTGCTCAAACTTGGCTTTAGACTTTTTACTGGATAAAAAAGGTCAAATGTGAGATATTTCTTCCTTTTGTGGAATATTCAGATCATGATCCCAATCTGCTGTCTTTTGGAATCTCTCTCTCGTGAGAAACACTTTGTACACTGAAAAAAGTTAAGTTATTGTGGAGAAAAGAAAGGCATTTCAATTCTGAAGACCACTAAATGAAGTATGTTATTTTGAAATAACAATGTTCAGGATACATTTGAAGCTTTTGTATTGACTGTCAGTGTTACTGGAGGCTTGATCCTGCAGGTTGGAGAAAGCCTCTTCAGGTCTCATTAGCTTTGCCTGATCTGTTTTCCTCTATGTGATCCCTAGGGTATAATGTGGTATTTACTGCTTTTTATTTATTACTCGGTATAGATGCCTTCCCATAAAATAACAGGGCAGAAACATAATTCATGATTAATATTTCCAAGTTTGTTCCAGTCACAAGGTCTTTGCTTTTCCTACTCAGCTCTTCTGTGCTGTTGCATCTTGCTGCATAAAAAGAAGTTATCACATCAGAAATTCTTCAGAGTTTAAAAGTAAACTAATTTCTATATTCAACCACTTCAAGAAAATAAGTTGTCAGTACTTCTTCCTCAAATTAACAAAATAAGTTAAATGCAGTGCAATTACAGACTTTTAAAGCTTTTTTTTTCAATTTCAGCATTTCTGTAGCACTTCTTATTTCACTACTTGTGGTGACCTAGTACTATGAATTATATTTTTAGTTTTCTATTTTGTATGTATGTATAAAAAGAAATATTTGTTCCATGTACTTTTAAATTTCCATTAATACATTATGTGTCTTCAGTGTCATGGCTTTTCATCATATATATATATTCATTTGGTGCCTGTTTTAAAGGTGCTGTTTAGGAAAGACTCAGGTGAATTCTGTTCCGTGTTTGGATGATAATATGAATTGCATCGGATTCTTACAGCCAAGCCTGCTGAGGGCACAGAGATCCAAAAGACTTTCTTAACGCTGAAGAGAGCATGAGGGAACTCTCCAGCAGAATGGATAGTGCAAAGCTATTTGCAGGGATGGTGAACATGGTTCTCGCTACCCAACTGATGTTCTACAGATGCCGTATCTTGTGTTTCCTACCATGCATGGCCTGGATGGATGGGGTCACATTGGAATCTTCAGTTATGTTTTTACAGGGCATAGGAATTTAAGAGGGAGGACATTTATGTGTATCACTAAACCAATGTAATATCTGAGCATTGTTTGGCCTTCTTAGGATATGTGAGTATGAGAAAAAAATCCTGTGCTTTTGGAATCTTTGCTAGTTAATTTTGTGTTGAAACTGCCAACAAAGAATATTGCCTCAGGACTATGCAGTTCTGTTTGGATTCTTTTGAGTGCCAGTTTTTGTACCAAAAAAAAAGAGATACCTCTTCACATATACTCAGGAACCAGCCTGCGCTGCACCCCATGTTGCTATGGGCAGACTTGTCGCTGCAAACAAGTTCAGATACCTTTGTGCTGTACTGTAAGTGTGGCCATAAAATAGGAAGGGCACCAAAAAATCAAGGAATGTGCTGTGCCAGTGTCCAGGTACAAAATTGTTTGATAAAACTGAGGAAGAAGCTGAGGGGTTGTTTCTAAAAGTTTTGCTGAGAAAATACCTTCCTTTTGTGGCCACAGAGCCCTGCCAGATCACACATACTGTCTCCTATCTCAAGGCGCTCTTATCAAGAACACTATGAATAATGACTAGAGCAGATGATTCTGTACTTTTTATACAATGTTTATTTAAATTAAAGAAATAAAACTTGTAATTTAATAAAAATTCTGTCCTGTGTTTTTATTTTATTGCCATAAGAGTTACACAAAGCAAAGAAAAAAGGCTTTTGATTTAGCAGTAAATAAGGAAGACCTTATTTTTCAAAAGCTAGTTACTGTCAAATATATTAAAAACAACTTTAGAAAATTAATTAAATCCCCATTTTCTTCTTTTTCAGCTACTATGACAGACTTTCTCTCTACAAATACAGATCAAGTCAGTCTCAAAGTTCTGAGAAGTCTCCCCATATGGAATTCTTCTTAATTTCCATTCTGAAATACTCAGGTATGGTTTGTTCATTGCTCTTCATCAACACCTGAGCAATTACCTAATTTTGCCTTCTTCACTGAAAACTTCTGGGGTACAACAGTTGATTAAAATTTTATTTGGAAAATGTTAAAGCAGTCAGGGGATACACCTAGAAAGTTATAAAGCTGGAAACTTCTCTTGTTTCCATCACAACAGAAACTTTCTTCAAAAGTTTCCATGAGATAAGCACATCTTGTTCCTGAATTTGAATACTGCTCCAGTATGTTTCCAACTCCTAGATACTTTCTAAATTAAAACTTTCTCTTTGACATTAAATAAGAAATAGCTTGAATTAATCTTTTTAATGCTTTAAATTTAAAAAAGCTTTACATTTCATTTTAGTCTATTTTTCTGATAAATCATATGTCTTTAGCTTCTTTTATATCTTTGTAAGTATAAAAAAGAAAAACAAAACAAACCCTAAGGCTTCCACTTCGGCGCAGTGGGGGTTAGTCACAAATGCAGATAATAAAGAATTTCAGTATACATACCCTCACTCTGTTTCTCACTCCCTCACTTTTCCTTTGTCTCATATTTTTTATGTTTATCTGAGGAATTAGTTTCAAGGATCACCTCACTTTAAAAATTCCTGGCTATTGAAGGTTTGGGGTTATACAGTAGAAATGCTATAATTTTTTAATATCAGGTACTTTTATGGATGAGCATCTTTCTAGATGATGCTAGGATCTAAGTTTTATAGTCACTAACCCATTTGTGGTACATTGTTCAATCATTTTATATAGTGTGAACTAAGAAGCTTCATAAAAATAGTATTTATTCTTTGCATTTATAGTAGTAGAACAAGTAAATAATCTTAAAAGTGCTCAGCAATGTTAATTAAATTACAATTTAAAATTAGATTCTGCATTTATTTATTCCATCAATTACTACTGAATGACACTGGATTTCACAGAGAAGAAATCAACTTTTTGTGTTGAAAATCTGTAATAAGCTTTTAAGAAGTGTTCTGGTCTAAGACTGAGGATCTGATGTGTTTTGCAGTGAGTTTCATTTTTACTGTTTTTACAAAAGCTTGCTTCTTCTCATAATATGCAGCTTCATTAATAAATGTTGGATAGACTGTGCAGTCTCCTTTATATGCAATTACTTCTCCATCAAGAGTCAAAAATAGAGGATCACCATTGTTCAGTGGCTGCCAGTCTTGATCCTTAGAGAGAGAAAATAAATAGAATATATTTACTTTCAAGTTCTTGGATATTTCATGTGATTTCTAAGTTTATGTTCAAAATATTTTCTCTAGTTTAGGGCAAATGCTTTTAAAAGAATTCCTTTTAATCTTCAGTATGTAATTTCAGGTTTCTGGCCCTTGTTTTCAGGCTCCTATGGAATACACTGGTAAAGGTGAACTAAAATGAAACTGCATATGCTCACAATTGATTAAAAACAGACTCTCATTTTAGAATTAAAAATTAGATTTATATTTTGGAATATAAGCTATTCTAGTGCCTGTTTCTTTTCAGTTTTAAGCTCAAAAGTGATGTTAGATTAAGTGATTCCCAAGTCAGTTACTGAAATACTGTATGACCTTAGTGACAGAATCCATTGGCAATACTGTGACTTTAAATATTCACTATTAAAATATGCTACAATGTAGCAGAAGCAACACAGGAATACTTACAAAATGTCACAAGTGGAAACTATTTCAGAATTTACCTGCAGTTTAGGGTGAATAATAGCAATAACTTCATCATTCTTATTCCTAGGATAATCTACTTTCTCCATTATTTTAAAAACCTCAATTGTACATGGTGGAAATTCCTTTCCTAGAAAGAATAAATGTAATTGAATGTCAGAATGAACAGCTGCCTGTTGAAAAGAACAATGCATTACTTAATCTCTTTAGAACGGCTTAAATCATGAGGTTGTACCTTGCCAAAGCTTACATACTAGTGACTAGCTCATGTATCACAAAAATGTCTAGCTCCAGATTTTTTGTCCCCTTGAAGTGAAGTTGCACGTACTGTAGCATAGCTCAGACCTAAATTTAGTGCTGAAATGTGACTTTTCATTGTATACTTAAAAAGACATATTTTGTAGATGAAGAAATCGATGAAAGGCCTGTGTTTGACAGTGCTGCACAACACAGAATGGTATTGATGCTATTTAACCTTTACCACTCCAGCACAGTAATGGAGATTCTGACATGCATAACTATATTATTTTCCTTCTACTTCCAAAAAAAGCTCACTGACAAAATGTGCTCTAAAAGAATTTTAAACACTTATTTTTGTTAGTATGTATTTTAGATAGTACAAGGTAAAACAAAGATAACAATGCACAGAAGGCATGTAAATGAAACACTTCTTTCTTAGTATTAATTTAATTACGTTCTCCATGTACATACTACTATACAAATATTGTTACTAGTATTTCCGATTCTCAAAGCAACTGGAAGATTAAGATCAAGTTATACATACTGAACCTTCAGAAAGAGGAAATATCCTTAAAGCTGCCCAAAGGAGCTCTACAGGAATTCTGACTTTCTGATGCCACACTTAGGTGCTCTAGAGAAGAGTCCTTCCTCTGCCCCCTTTTACCTGTTTAACACTAAAATGTTGTACCCCAACCTATTTTTTTAAATATTCTCCTGAAATAATCCACTAGAGAGGCTATATTCTCTCATTACTTACTCTACCTGCATTAAAAAGTTGCACAAAATCAAGGCCATGTTTGACAATCTTCCTCATTTTGTCCAAAGTATCAGCTCTAAGGACACCGTGTGGCTGGGGACCCACCTCCACACCTGTTTGCAGATGAGGGAGATTATTAATATAGCCATGATACATCACATGCTTAGATTATACAGCAAAAATAGATGTCTGAGGAATTTAAGAGGAATTGTAAATGACAGAGTTATGTGATTTTTCAGGCAAGCAGAACATTTAGCTCACCAGTCAGGATCAGTTTAGAGCCATATGTACATTTTTGTGTGCTACTAGGATAAGAGAAAGGGTCACTATATATATAAAAATTTATCTTATTTTTTCCCCCATCCTGTCTTTCCATGCTGCATTTTAGAGAACTCATTGTTTAATATAAAAACTAAGCTAATGATTTTTTTTTTCCCCTATGGTTATGGTTTTGATTCCATGTGTGAAAAAGTTACCCACTTCCATGCAGAACATGATTTCCCTCTTCCTTTATCACATCTTTTTTTCCTCTTCTTGGCTAACAATCAGTGTTTCAGCCAAGGCTTATTTAGAGGATGTAAACATTTCTTTTCTGAAGATGTTACTTCTTCCTTATCCTCATATTATAAATATTTTCTGCAAACAGTAGGTTAACTGAGTTTAAGCATTTCCATCTGGCTTCTGTATTTTGTAAGCCATGTATAAATCAGAACTCTTAAGAAGAGGAGATAATCGTATACATTAGATTTGGTAAATATATTGTCAAACAAATAACTACTGGTGATCAGAACGCTCTGCATAACAATGAAATGAACAGATCTGGAAACAGGCAGATTTTAAAGTCATTTAGAGTGGGTTAAAATAGTCTTTATTTTTCATATTTACCAACAGGATGTTTTGCTACAGATCGAGTTGTTGCATATTTCAAGCTTGGATGTTCAATCAGCAAAACAGGACAGTGTTCTGGAGCCAAAGCGTTCTGTGGAGATTGTTTAAACATTTTTGTTATGCAAATATTTTAAGATGTTGTGCCACAAAAGATTACTGATGCAGAAGTGATTTACACAATGTCTTCAATATGTTGCCTTTATTTTATGGCTCTCAAAGAAGTAGGACATCTTTAGAAAACATACAAAGCTGTGTTTGTTGGTCTCCTTTCCATTAACTCATGCCAGGCATGCTCCACTGAACTTTGCTGTCTCCTAATATAACTGAACACAGTTCTAGTCTTAAATTACTAACAGGAAGAAAAATCATCAGTGTTTCAAAACTCAGAATCAAAATACCATAAAGCAGATTCCAAGTATTTTTTGGTGTTAAGACTTAGATTTTCTTATGGGGACACAGATTATGAATTAAGCCTTATTTTAACCTTTTTTTGACATAGAACCCTATTTCAGAACTCTCCTGATTACTGCCTACCATTGCTCTTCATATAAGTTTAGTCATAAGCTTTCTATGTCTTCAAATATTTTATAAACATTTCAATGGGATGCATGTAATGAGAAAAAAAAAAAATCAAATGCTAAAATATATCTTGTTTCTAAGGAGGAAAAAAAAAAAAGTTCAAGTTCCACACTGTTGGCTTAAGCTTGATTTCATGAGGCATTGTCTAGGTCACTAGTACTCCAACCAGACTTAAGCCAGCACTTTTGCAAACCTCACTCTACCAATACTTATCAGGGAACATTTGTCATTACCTAGTTCCATTATTTTTTCCATGTCTTTATTTAATAAAATTAATGCTTAACTATTTAGCATGTATGACCCAAATTTATCCAAGTTCCTGACAGATCACTGTGAAAGCAGATTAAATTACATTCATTTTCATAGATGTTATTCTAAGCATTCCTCTTTGCCCATCAGTCTTACTAACACTCATTTTAAGACATGAAGATTATGATGAGTTCAAATTTGAATTACCTGATATTATAATCAAATTATTAATTATCTCTGATTAAAAAAGCTCACCCTACGAGTGATTAAACATTTTAAACAGTTTTGCAGAATAAAAAATAGTATATTTAAAGAAACTACAAAATAATATCTAGTAATACATTACAACTAATAATCTATTTTAATAGTTTATTTAAATTAGTTTTACCTTGATATAATGAAACATTTGAATTGTAAAGTCATCCCTGGAGTTTTCAAGAATAAGGGTACCACCCATGTTAGAAGTGGTGTTGTGAAGGTCAAAAATAAGGTCATACGCATCATCACTACCTTTTGGACCAAATATATGATTGATTTCCTGAGCCCTTCTCACTTCATATGGAATATCTTCCACCACTGTCCTGCTGTTAATATCAGTACAAAGAAATTAGTAAACTCATTCCATGGCTTTACAGACAACAAAATATGTATAATCTTTCTTTTTACTTTAATTCTATAATTGACTGGAGGTGAAATCACCTATTTAATTACCAGATTGTTAAAACTTCATGAATTTGTGCTTGAAAAATGCAAGCATGATGGTTAAAGAGGTCTTATTATTATGTACGTTGTGCAGAAGGTAGTAAGAATTTTTCAATCTGATTTTAGCTGGAGACTATTTACTTCTTTCTTATTTCTTTAAATACCAAAATTTCCCCCCATGCAGAAAACTAACTCAAAATTTGTAACAGCTTAAACCACTTTCAAGACTGGATCGACCTCCTTCTGACAACGGCATCCAGATGCCCTTTTACATTGGACATCACTCCAAAGTGGTGTCATTTGTAATTTGCTTTATTTCTGATCAGACTTTAACAGTCTATTGTTTTGAGCCCTCCTGATTTTGCTGCTTCAAATCTATTCCTCCAAAGTTTTAGTACTTGTAATCTCAGGTGACTATGTCTGTACTACACTAAAAAAAATTGGGCGTTGCCTAAGGAAAGGTCTGAGATCTTCCTGTTGGTATAAGGGCTCTATAGGAAGCAGATGTGTGACACAAAGATTATCTATCTTGCATTATTAACAAAGCTGCTGTAGGTTCAGACTTGTTTCTCATAGACAGTAAATCTGGTTTTAATGACAGGCTTGGGATGCTACCCAAGTCCAATATAGACACACCTAGTATCTTTTGCACTAAATTTAGTTTTCTTTCTCAGTACAGCTCAAGTTCAACTAATATTTTAGTTTTGTAAGATATGCTGGTATTAAATTGCATAAAGAAAGCTTTGTTAAATGCTAATAAAACACTTTATTAACTGCATGGACATTTAAGCATTAGAAGAGCTTGCGGAGAAAAATTATGGGATCACCACTGCTGAAGTATTAGAAATGGCAAGACATAATCTATCAGAAATGTCTACATGCAGTTGATCTACTGGTGGGACATGAGGTGGATTAGAATTTTTATGTGAGCCCCTCAAGTTCCTGTTTCTATTTTTATGATTCTATATATCACATCATTTACCTTTGTATTCTTTAGTTCTGTCTTTGAAATTCAAGGTCTCTTCACGTAAGACTTAAATTAATACTTTTTATCAAAGCCAATAGGAATTCCACCATCACTTTCAGTAGTATCAGGATTTTGCTCTCCTTTTATTTATTTTGTAAAATCATTTGTAATATTGAAGGGTCTACACTTAAAGGGGTCATGTGAAGGTATTCAAGCCAGCAGCACTGTAACAGGACTGGGCAACTTAATGGGATTTACTGAGGAATATTAGTTTAAAAATGAAGACAACCTGCAGGTGTCTTAATCTGCTATTTTTTCAAGTGTTCTATGTTCAAAGCAGCTGAAAACAAACAAACCCCCTTTTTCTTCATGTGTTTGGTCTAAGTAAGCGATTAAAAGAATGGCCTCAACACTTAGGTATTAAAAAGCCTGTTTATCTTATATATGATAATAAAAAACAAAATTCTAAGATGAAAAGCCAGGTGAAAAGATGTACAGGAATAATCACGCTTACAAAATATATGTGATACATATTTCTTTCAGTGATAGTCACCTTTACCATTAAGACCCTTCTGAAACATAATTACCTATTTAGCATGCAGCTATACCAAGCATAAGTACATCCCTGTCTCAAAAGCAGAGAAACATAAAATCCCATTAAAAATGTAAAATCAATTACTATTTTAGAGTAATTATAGATTCTATTTCTTCTAAAATAATGAGTCAGTTAAATTATTGAGACTTTTTTTGCTATCATTTTGCCATAGAATACATCATTTCTAACTTAGCTAATTTTGAGTTTTCATCTTTTACTGTATATAAGTGAAATTAAATACACTTCCCTGATTTGTATGCTATTCTCTCAGCTATTTAATGTCTACTTTCAAATTGCTTTTATCTGCTGTTTTCCTGCAAATACAATTGTATTCAGAAGAGCTCCAAAGCTGAATTGCACAAGAAGACATAAGAAATAATGACTTTGCAACTTAGAACAGCAATAGTCAAGTTTACACAAATATAGCTAATCTAATACTAATTTTAAATGCTGTTTTTAAGATTATGTGTTGGTTTGAGACTCATTCCACTAGCAATAGTTTTAAAAAGAATCTGTTAACATGCATGCAATTTGTTCTTTTTGGGTTAAAGGTCAGTAATTTCAGTTATGTGACTGCACAGTTAAAATAGTAGTGGAACTTCTGTTAACATTTTAATCTGGAAAGGAAGCTCCTTACAATTTTAAAAGACAGAAAAGTAAAACAACAGAAAGTACAACTATTCTTACCCAAGATTATCTGGGTCAAAAACACGGTTCAGATCACAGTCAATGTATCTAGTACACTTCTTCACAGCTCTTGGGTTGGTAAGAAATGGTTTCACTTCCATTCCTGTTCTTTGAATCTCAGCTCCATTCTCTTGCCAGTGCTTGACCAAAAATACCCCTGATAACTCATTGCCATGAGTTCCCCCGAAGACAGCAACCCGTCTTACCGGAGGTTTATCAACAACAGAAGAGGAAGTCATGCTTTGCAGCAGCTCTAAGAATTGCTGAAAGCAAAACAGAAAATAATGATGAAGTAAAACTTTTGTCTCAAAAAAAAAAATTATTTCTTTTTACTCTCTGAAATAGGAATTTCTTTAAGCCTGTTTAGGTCAGATGTGAATGAAAGTGAATTAACATTTCTCTAACAGTTTTAGACTCCTGTTGTGAGGCGGGGAGTTGCTAACCTGACACTCCTCCCTCCTGAGGAGCCCTCCCCTTCATTTACCATATTTAGTGATATCTCCAAGACTGGTAATGGTACTGTGACACAGTTCAAAAGTTAACTTCTCCAGGCAATCTCTATTAATACATGATATATAGGTAAATGTTGTACTAATGACAGTATAAAAAGGCTTCTTAAAATGTAAACTTTAATAATGCACTTAAATATCTCAGACATTTTTGCATTCCAAAGTAGCTGTAACAAGTATACTCATGTTATGTTTGAAGTTACATAAACACTACAGTATACAAGGGCAGAATGATTTAAAGTGAGCAAAACCAGTAAAATATGAATCATATCTGAGCTCCAGATCAACACATAATGCTGAAACAAGTACTTTCATCTAAAAAAACAAGAACAGTCGAGTTCCTCAAAGCAGGTTGTTGCTTGTATAACCTTTTTTGTTTTCTAGTATCTGAAGAACAGTGATTAGAAGGAACACTAGCTGAAATTAAAGTGCAATTTATCCACGACTGACTTATCAAGTATTCCTGGCTCTAGTTCTATCTTGGGATCTGCTAACGCAGACCTCTAACACATTGAAACAACTCCGTCAGTGACGACCCTTCTAACTTCTACAGTCTCTTATTAAAAAGGAAACAGATATAGATCACAATGAGACAATAGCTGTGTCCTCCCTCCAAAAAAATCTCAGTGAACAACTTGACTTCTTCCAATTCCAAAAGCATTCAGATAGGCTCCTGAAACGTAAGCCAAAAAGCAAAACATTTAGAATAAAAGGTCTTAATAACAGAAAATAAGTTTTACTTCAGTAAATGATAGAAGCATTTGCAATTAGTATCCGACACATGATATAAATATAAAAAATGTTGCATTGCAAGGGAATAAAGAATGTGTACTGAAGAATTCCTTTTTATTATGATTATACTCCAGTAACAGAGAGACTATTTGTCCAGTGCCTGGAAGAAGCTTTACAACCCAGGCTGATAGACTGTAGGTCTGCAAAAAAAAAGCTAAACATAGGACTTATCTAGACAAGTTCTGCCAGGAATATATTTCCTACAAAAGTTGCTCTCTATGTTTCAGCTTATGAATACAGATTTGCTGAACCTTACAGTGAGTTAATACAAAGCGACTGTTTACTTAAACACTCAACTGTATTACTGCTCTACTTAGAAGCTGCCAGATATTTAATCATAGTAAGTAATTTATTAAACAAAGCAGTAAAGTTGTATTTTCCAGCACTGGACAGTCTGTTCTGTCCTTTGACCCCAGTCTCTTCAGCAGTGGTGCCAAAATGGCTATTTACGCACTGCTTGAAAAAATGACTCGCGCTCTGAATCTTGGTTTGCTGCATTTAAACACCACAGGAGTTTGAAGAGTAAACGGCAAAATGCAAACATGCAGTGGTATTATATATAGTTTATCTTTGATTGCTGGAGGTAGGGTAATGGTTGTAATTCCTTGCAAAATGCTGAATGAAATACAGAGGTTGTTTGTGCACTTACCTCATTTAACATGCAAGAAGTTTGTCTCCTAAGAAGAGCTTTCTTAGGACAGATACAGTGCATTTCCAAACATGAGGTTAGGAACTAAAGCCATGGGGTGAGGCTTCTTTTATACCCTTAGAGCACATTAACTTCCAAACAGCTTTTAACTCCTGGGCTCCCAGGACATTAAAATCACCCGTGAATTCGTGGCATAAATGCACACGCTTGAAAAATTTTCACTCAGAATTCTGAGTTAAACACCGGGACCAATCCCTTATTCCTGTGCTTTACCAATACTTACACTCTGAAAAATTATGTAGGATCGTGTTTAGTTTATTAAAAATTCAGATTGTTTTTATGTACTACATACAATACCTGATTGCGCATCTGAAAGCTTAGAACGTGTGCCATGAGCTGGAAAAACATACACAGTAATAAAAGGTAAAGGGAATGAAGCCTGGCTATCAGTGCCACAAAGG